ACTTTAAAAGCGGAAAATAAATAGGTATAAAATAACTAAAAATGAATAATTCATTACATAGATTAAAAGAGTGCAGATCAAACACATTCAGTTGCGATATGCAGACAAATAGAACTGTCTTTAGCTCTGATTTAAACATAGTCAGAGTTGCACTAATCAGGTTTGAAATGTCCTGAACTTGATCTCACAGATGGGGATTTATCACCATCCTCCTGCAGCTGAGGAGCCGTTTCCAGTGACCAATTCATGGTTTTCTTTCCATATGGTGTTTAACTGTGAAACTTTGTGCCAGAGGGACATTTGAGCGTGTTGATGGAGAAATGAATCCTCAGATTGTGAGCAGGGAAGTTTGTTTATGTACTTTGTTCTGTGGGATTTACAGACTTAATCACTTCCTGTTTGAGAACATGAGTTCCCACAGAAGATAAACAGCGAGGCAGGAAGTGTTCTGCATCACTCTTACAGTCTGACTGTCCGAAAGGTGCACAGCACTCATTATTTCTGCTCTGATTAATGTGCTCAGATCAGTGTCACAACACAATATGATGAACTCCTACAGTTCAGTTTTCAGCCATAAACAAACCCTTACATACACTTAAACCCGTTCACAGTTGCATGTAGCTGTAGTTCCGCGTTCCTGCCAGCAGGGGGCAGCACCACTGGTGGTCAGCTCAAGTCAAGGTAAACAAAGATCTGACTCGGGTCAAACTAAGTGTTTGATAATGGTATCCTTTGTTAAGTTCTTCTTCTCTTCATCATGACATCTGCTGTTCTTAGCCCCTCCCACCTCAGGCAAACTCTTGGCCAATCAGCACTCAGTCAGAAGTAGCGTCATCTCTGATGCTCCTCTGTGGGCTAACCCTAACCCTAACCCTAACCCTAACCCAATCAGCACTCAGAAGTGGCGTCATCTCTGATGCTCCTCTGTGGGCTAACCCTAACCCTAACCCTAACCCTGTATGCCCTGTTTTGGGGGTTCTCCTTCGAATGGTTTTACTCTGAGCTGTCGTGTACCTTCAGCTCTTGCTGCCCACAAAGCTTCTGGGTTAGTTGATGCACGTTTAAGTGAGGCAGGGCTTCAATAACCACTTAATAACCTTTAAATATTTTTGTTTATTATGTGTCATGCATCAAATTTAAAAACGAACCGTTTTAAATTAAATTCTGTACTTTGCAGGAAGCAGAATAGACTAATCTCTCGCCATAACTTCTGGCGGAGACCAAAAAAATCAAACAAATCCAACTCAGACGGTTCAGATCCTCCTGGTGTCGCTGCCATTTTCCTCTTTGTTTCTGAGATTCTTTCTGACAAGAAAAACAGTAAAACTTAGAAAACAGAAAAAATCATAAAGGAGGAGACAGGTGAAACACTGATAACTGCTCATCAGCACGTGAAGGATTCAGAGTGAGAAAATAATCTTAATCTGATATAGAGTCCCCGCGACCCCAACAGGGAATAAGCGGTATTGATAATGGATGGATGGATGGATGATATAGAGTCAAAGTTCATATCTAAACTCTCGTTTACAGCATCTGCACAAATATGTAAATACGCCTGTAACTTAGTTAAACCAGACAGGAGGAGTAACATCTGTCTGGATCCCAAAGTGAGATCCCTGAAACCCAGTTGAAATTTCAGCATAGGGCACCTAGTCGACTTTAAAACTGGGACTAAAATCTGAATAAAACTTTGCAGTTCTTTGAGAATTTTTTCCATTTCTGTGGTCCACAAAGACAGAAAGCAGTTTCTAACTAACAGAAAACCATTCAAATCTTCATAAAGCAGCAGGAAGGGGGTAGAATCAGCCCTGTGATGGACAGGAAGGCAGAGATCTCATCATGGAGGGACGTTATCGGAGCTCAGCCAGGACTCCAGAAGCTCAGGAAACGTTTGTTCCATCAACAAACTGCCGGAGTGAAAACCTGGTTCTGCTTTCCAAACCCCTCCGACACCAGTCCTTCAGTCCCCAAAATATCCTGCAGCTGGGCCGCAGCCTAACGGTTACAGACCATGTGAGGACCTCCTCATATGTGTGAGGACCTCCTCATGTGTGTGAGGACCTCCTCATATGTGTGAGGACCTCCTATGTGTGAGGACCTCCTCATATGTGTGAGGACCTCCTCATATGTGT